TTTAATAGCTGGCACCCCTACTGGGGCTCTCCTAGCCCTAATACCAGAGGCAATATTATTGCCAAATTCCTAGACCGTTCAGATTACATCTTATTTAACGACAAAAGTCAAATTGAAGGTAGAGATGCCAAACGCATCTTTACCTTCAATTTCACTTACGATATTAGTCCCTTCTCATCTTCAGCTAGAATATGGTCCAACATCAGACGGCTTTGCGGCTTTTACCCCACAAAGCATATACATTGCACTAACGACCCTTCTTTCCCCACCCCCAGAACATCCCAAAGTGAAATTGCTAACTCTTTTGGACTAGCCTGGTCCAAAGAAGCCGACGACAGTAACTTTTCAACAACTTTTCGCACTAACAAATCTCTCTTAAACCACACGATAGACTACCAACCCTCCAATTCTGCACTCGAAATAGAAAAGGACATTTCGTTCATAGAATTCAGCAGCGCACTTAACTCCCTAAAAGGCAAATCTCCAGGCTTAGATCGCATCTCTTACAATATGATCAACAACTCCCCTATATTATTCAAACATAGAGTCCTTAACCATTTTAACTCAATCCTAGATTCCTCAATCCCCCAAGCCTACAAACATAGCCTAGCACTGCCTATACTAAAACCCCAAAAACTCAAAACAGATCTAAAATCTTACCCTCCGATATCCCTAAATTCATGCCTTGCCAAAACACTTGATAAAATTATCGCGAAGAGACTGTGGTGGTTTGTTTTAAATAACAATCTAATCAACAGCCATCAGATTGGATTTAGAAGGGGAAGATTTGTTATAGACAGTCTACTTTTAGTAGACCACATAGCAACAAGATCCCTCTCCCTCAAGAAACACATCACATACATCTCTCTTGATTTCAACAAGGCCTTTGATAAAATGGGCATACACTCAGTAATTAACCAGCTGAAGGAATGGAAAATTGGCAAACGCATATTAAAGTACGTTCACAACTTTACTTTATGACGAACAGAAAAATAATCATTAAATCCGGCAACAACCTTTTAAACTTTTACCCACTCAACAATGGCATCCCCCAGGGGTCTCCAATCTCAGTAATACTCTTTCTTATAGCTTACAACACTCTCTCCAATATCATCTCCATACACAAAGAAATAAAACTAACAGCATACGCCGATGACTTCCATCTTATAATCGAACACAATAAACAAAAAAACCCCACCACCAACCTCCAAACCCTGTTTTCACAAATAGACGACTGGTGTAATTACTCTGGATCAATTCTATCAAAAGAAAAATGCCAAGTTCTTCATATATGCAGAAAACATAACTGTACTGCCAGTATCCTTACAGGCGACACAAATTTTCCCAATACCAACTCAGAATACTAGGACTTACTATTAACAACAAATACACCTGGTCCAACCATATTTCAAATTTAAAAACAGAATTATCAAAAACGTTAAATATCATCAAACATCTCTCTTCCCTTAAATATAAATGTAACACCTCCACTTTAATCAATACTACTAAATCTATCCTCATTTCAAAAATCGATTTTTGTCTACTTATTTACGGGTATTCTCCCAAATCGAAATTAAACTGTTTAAAAACAATAATAAATGCAGCTCTAAGATCAGCCTTGGGAGCCTATCGAACCACACCAGTAAACAACTTAGTACTAGAATCTGAAACAAACACAATAGAACAAAAACGAAACTTCCTTACAGCCAAATTAAGGGTCGGTTTCTCGAGTGCCGGCTAACATTTCTCGAACAGATAAAGGCCCTGCTAAGGCATTTTGGCTTTCTCGAGCATGAATGTGGGAGCTAACTTTGACAGGGACTCGGAGTCCCTATTAAGCGTTTTCGACTCGATAGAATGACAGCTGATTTCCCATAGCCAACCAAGAAGAAGAAACGAAATCACAGCTGACTTTTCAAAGCACGCCATTTTTTGCGCTTTACAGCACAATTCTGTGCGTTAACAGCACTCTGTAATTGTTTCTCGTTCAGAAAAATTAAAGTAGTCGAGAAAGCGGATTTGCTTTTACGAACAGTTTATCTGTTCCTAAAGGGGGGATTCCCTAAACTGTTGAATTGCTGAATTGGTGAAAATTCAACAAAAAATTTCATCAATTAAGGGAACGAACCAAAATGGTTCCTGTTGAATTTTCAAACAGCTGTTATTTGTTGAAAAATTTCACGGAACTTAAAGCATGTAAAATTTGACTTATTATTGCTAGTTACTGTCTAAAAGTGTTACCAAGGTAAAAAGAACCACAAATATGCTTTCTAAGTTGATTTTAAAATAAATAATGCGTACTGGTGATACTAAAATGTTACAGAGTTGCCACGACTTTAAAAAAAAGGTGACAACTCTGGCTTTTCAGCAATTCAACAAAATTTTCAACAGCCCCGAGGCTGTTGAATTGCTGACATTTTTGAAAGTTGACTTTGTATGGAACAGATGATTAACAGCTGACCAAAATTCAACAATTCACCAATTCAACAGTTTAGGGAATCCCCCTTAAGTTTTTTGGACAGATAGCTATCAGGGACTTTGAGAGGGACTCAAGAAACCGGCCCTAAGTAAAAATATCCTTTTCGCCCACTACTCTGTGGGATATCGTCGAATTGTCTGAAGTGCGACCTATCGGCGCAGATATCAAGACCAAAGAAATTACTTCGAACATTACAGTGATAAAGAATTTGTTAAAAGGGTTCTCTTGCAACAAAGCGGCGCTATTTGTTCTGCAAACAAATTTTTTTTTTGCTTTTGGTGTTTTGGTGTTGGCGTGGCTATAGCGTCTTTTTCAAAACAATTTATGATTGCACGCATGTAAGAATTCAATCTCCTGGTAGCGATTCCGAAGACACCGGTTCTACAAGAATTGTCTCCTGTTCATCGGTATAATTTTTACCGCGAAACTTTCTTTCTGCCGACATGGTTTTTTTATTAGTTTGAAATTTTGTTTATATCATCAGCTGTTAGTATGACTGTTTTAAGGTATTTTTCGATAGTTTTTTCGATTAATTTTTGACAATTAGTTAACTCTTCTGTTGTGGGGCTGCCACCTAGTCTCAAATTAGTGCGCCTTTTATTTGGAGTTTTAAATGATGGACGAGAAAACGAAAACCGATTTGTCACCGGGATAAATTTATCCTTCCATTAGCTAAATTTTACTTTGCAGGACCGACGAGAAAACGGCCCATAACTTCCTAAAATAAAAGTAACTAAATTTTATGTATCTCGTAGGCGTTAATTTAAAAGCAAGAGTGGTCGAGCAGCTAAATACATTTAAGTTAGATTTAGATAACGCTGTTATCGTAACGGACCGGGGACCCAACATGATCAGCGCTTTTCAGAGCATTGAGCATATTTATTATGTAAACCATTTGCTGAACAATGTTGTGGAAAAAGCAATTGCAAACTCAAAAAAAATTTTCGAACTTTTGGTCAAGTCAAATAAACTGGTGAAGTACTTCAAAAAATCAGGAAAGAACACAGAACTGAATGCAACTTTAAAAAGCTTCTGCCAAACTAGGTAGAATACCGTTTATTTTAGCATGTCTTCAATTGCAAAAAACTGGGATACTATCACCCGTTACAGAATAAGACTCGACTCTCACAAAAACAGACTTGCTCTCACACTATCCAGACCTATGAACAGAAAAAGACTAACAATATACCCTTTTACTCAACCAGTAACGGGTATATAAAAATTGCACCTATCAGACAATCTGATGCTTGCACAGTAAATAAACGAACTATTATAAGCATTTGTCATTGTAAGAACTTGGACTTCGGTAGGATGTTAGAAGGAAAGGTTCCTTTCGTGAACCGCGAAATCTTGAGAGGGACATGAAAATGCAAGTGAGTTTTCTTTAATGAGGGATAGATATGTTTGTAAGAATTTGTATGGGTAAGCACTAGATATTCTTCTGAGGACCGCGAGTTATTAAGGCATAAGAAGGTTATTGGAAAAAATCAGATTTTTGCGAGTCCCTGTTAAGCGTTTTCGGCTCGATAGAATGACAGCTAAATCAGGCCCCATAGCCAACTAAGAAGAAGAACCGAAATCACAGCTGACTTTTCCTTTGAATTATACCCAAACAGCTGATGAAATAATCGAAGCACGCCATTTTTTGCGCTTTACAGCACAATTCTGTGCGTTAACAGCACTCTGTAATTGTTTCTCGTTCAGATAAATTAAAGCAGTCGAGCAAGCGGATTGGCTTTTACGAACTGTTTATCTGGTATTTAAGTTTTTTAAACAGATAGCTATCAGGGACTCTGACAGGGACTCGAGAAACCGGCCCTAAATCTACTTAATAATTCTATCACTCTCACTCACTCTCACTTTGACTTGTATCTCTTGTATTCCCTTACGAGTAATAAAGTGAACCAAGTGACCCAGGACCACTCACTTGAACCTAACTTGTAAGGTGTGTGGAATTGAACACTCTTTTTTAAAAAACTGACTAGTTGCTCTATTGACCACATAATAAATATCAGAATTCCTCTGCGGACCGCGTCTATTAATTGGCTAGGAGAGCGTCAAGTAAAGCATCGTTAAGTACTAGTGAAATTCAAAACCTTGATGGTTTAAAGTTACATTTTTAGTTTTTTCGTTAAAAAAATTTTATTTTGTGTGGTTTAACAGCTGTAATTGGTTAACAGCAACAAGGGCAAAACTGGTAACAAATTAACTAGTTGTTTCTGATGACAAGCATATGAGAAATGGACCAGTTCGTTACAAGGAAATAGACATAACTTTAACTAGTTAATTTTCCTGTCCCAACTAGTATTTTACTGGTCCAAAACAGGGTGAGTAAGGGCGGTCATCACCCAATAAATGGAGTTAACCCAGTGTAAACAGTTTTTTGGAGTAATCGGGTTATTGGCTCACTCGATAGGTTACCACACATAGTGTGACGAGTTAACCCCATAACACGACTGCAGTGTAAACAAGGCCTTAAATGTTACTCTAACGCCAGCAGTATTTAAGGGTAAGTGAAAATACAGCCACGATTATCACATATGTTGTCAGCGGCACTCGACCACATATTTTACATATTTCCTCGGTCGTCCTTTAACGAAAAAGAGATGTAATATTTGAAAAAGTTTATTTCTGGCAAGTTCTGATTGGGCGGTTTTGCTCGAAAAATCAATTAAATTGTTCTGTTTTCATTCAAAAATTGTGTAACCGACTGTCAAAATACACGGTGGTTTTACAACTATAACAGGTATACAGTGCGCATGTCCTAAAAATTCAGAAAAAAAACTAGAACAGACCAAAATATAAACAGTTGTTTTTAGATTTCTAATGATACATTGTATTGATAAAATAATTTGGTTAATTTAACCAAACAGAGCGTAAAGGTGTATTACCTGAAAAGCAAAGTTTAGCGGTAATATACATATTATCGTAAGCTTATTTTTATATACAAACTTATAACGTTTTCTTTAGGTGCATGTCACACCAGTTTTTTTTATTTTGAGAAATAAATACTGGATTATATAAGTAATATTTGAAAAGAATTTGAAAAATTGATAAAGTTTCCATATTAAATCCAAATCAGTTTTTGAACGCTTTGAAATATGCAAATTTTAAGCTTGCGCAATTGATTTATTTTAATTGGCAAAACTTTTTTGTTCTTATACTTTGCAGATTTTAAAATGTCGCACAAATCTTGCGTGGAACTGAGCGAAATTCGAAAATTGGATAAAATAGTGCAGCAATGTGAGCTCTACATGTCGAACAATAATATAAATGATACAGCTAAGAAACCGCCTTTAAAGGAATTCAAACGAAATTGCCTTGCAAAATCCACTAAATTTGTGGAGAGAGAACTCTTTTCTCTCATGTGCAACCTAAATAAGATTGAAAAGAAACAGGTTTTTGTTTCAGATATTTTGATAAACGCGAGTATGTTTGACGACAAAAAGGAGAGTTTGTCAAGATTTCCGAAAAGTGTAACCGACCACAGCAATCTGGTATATCACAAGTTCATGCGATCCAGACCCATTAATGATGAAGAAACAACAGAACTTAGAATCAAGCTAAAATCCAAGGAAAAACAAAGCACTAAGCACACTGGAGATTGCTTCTTTTCGCCTCTGTTATTTAAAATCAATAATAAGAGGGAATGTTTGAAAAGAGGTAAGTCCAACAAGGGAGAAAATCAAACCGAACCGAATTATATCTCAACCGAACATAAATCAAGCCTATCCAAAAAGCATAACGGTAGCAAAACGTCGAAAAAATGCATCAAATGTGATAAAAAGAAACTATACATTAAGAACTATCAGACAGCTGCTAGAAGGGATTGCGATTTACTGTGCTCATTTGATCCATCGCGTAAAAATAACAGCGATATTTTTCAAACCCATAAGGGAAATTCTTACGAATGCATGTTTAAGAACCTGAGATACAATCAAAGCGAAAAAACAACCGAAAACATATTGGGGAGTTCATATGACGATATGCTTGACAAGGAAGCTCTTCTCGGATCGAAGACTGAACAAAAAATGCTAGATCCGAACGAAATGGTAATATCTTAATCATAAAACCACTTAATAGTTAATTATAGAGTTCTTACAACAGATCACTTCCCTTGGAGGAAACATTCTTCTAGACCAGAAGTTACAGAACAACTACTATCATAAGTGGACTCTATTGCATTATTCGCCTTTTAAAGCTGTGTGGGATTGGGTGATATTAATTCTGGTTATGTACACTGCAATTTTTACCCCGTATGTGGCGGCATTTTTGCTTGGAGAACAGGATTACCAGCGTAGAAATAACAAATATATCAATTCTGACCCAATTGTTATAATCGATTTAGTTGGTATGCATTATGCATTATATTGTAAATTAACTTATTAATTCCTATTTTTAGTGGACGTTACTTTTATTGTCGATATCTTGATTAACTTTCGAACCACTTTTGTCAACGCACAGGATGAAGTGGTAATGCTATGAACCCACAATTTCGAAAAACAAAAAGCTATAAACTTATAATATTATATTATAGGTATCCCACCCAGGGCGAATAGCAGTTCATTATTTAAGCGGCTGGTTTTTAATCGATCTTGTGGCAGCGGTTCCATTCGACTTGCTTCTAGTTGGTAGTGATACCGATGAGGTAAGCTGTGATTACTCTTTTCTGAACTTTTTTAATGGCGAAATTCGTTATTCCAGACAACAACCTTAATAGGACTCTTAAAAACAGCGCGCCTTTTAAGACTAGTTAGAGTGGCCCGAAAAATAGATCGTTACTCAGAATATGGAGCTGCAGTTCTTATATTATTGATGGCTACCTTTATTTTGATTGCCCATTGGTTGGCCTGCATATGGTAAATAAAACCTTAATATATAGTCAAAGAAGAAACCAAACAAAACCAAGGGAGAAGTGCCTCGACTATTAGAAACCCTTCGCTCAGCTAAACCACTTTAGCAGGGCGTGGCAATCTTTTTTATGTCAAACGATAGTTGGTGTATACTAGAGCCCTGCATGATTCAACAGTGTTAGGATCATTCTGTCACAGACTGTTTCATATGTTTTGGTAATTCGTATGATTCGTATGATTCGAAGTTTCAAAATTTCAATGTTTCGAAACATTATAGACGAAACATCTCGAAACAATTAAGCAGTATGTGAATAATAAAATCATTTTTTAATTTTTTAACCAAAAGTCTGAACCAATTTGAAAATATCGTAAATTTATTTTATAAACAACTGCACAAGTAAAAACAACGTTTTCTATGGGACTTCAAGTAATTTAAAGTGAATATATTAATGAGAACAATAGTTAATTAAATTTGTAGTTGCTATTTAAAAACATTATTTCATCAACTAAGGTTGATCCTATAGCACTTCTTTTTTCGGAGAGAAATTTTCTGGGTCTTGAAAAAACTCTCTATGAAGCAGCGCTACTTAAAGGTATGGAGTTTTTCTACATAACTTTTCTCTTGAAAACTTGTACAAAGATGGGACATATGTAGTTCTCATTGTTTTTCCACCATGCTAGGAGGTCAAAGTCTTCACAGTTATTCACCTCTAAGTTTAGGTAGCGCTAAACTTATTATTATACGTCACCACAGGCCGATAATCAGCAAAAATATGTTCATCTTCAATTTCATTGAAATTTTCCTCGTCCATATTTTCATTGGCTGCCGTTATCAACTCCTTACATAGAGCTTAAGTATATTTCTACATGATAGATTTATAGTCTGGGGATGCACAGAAATCGAGCAGCGCTGAAGTGGCGTAAATTTCTATTGATGTACATAAGAATGCAACACCAATTGAGAGCTGCGCGATTTTTGATGCTTCTTAGAATATTTTCTTACAACATCTGCTGGATCAATATTCTTAATTTTTAACCCCAGCACAGACAAACTGAATTGCTCTACAATATTATACACAGTAGCCCCTTTGCCTACTCCGATGTTTCGAAACGTTTGATACATAGTCTCAAATCCACAGTGTGGGCTAAAATTTTTGTTGCGTTTTCAATTGTTCATATATTTATACCCTTGTAGAGGGTATTATAATTTCAGTCAGATGTTTGCAACGCAGTGAAGGAGACGTTTCCGACCACATAAAGTATATATATTCTTGATCAGCACTAATAGCCGAGTCTATCTAGCCATGTCCGTCTGTCCGTCTGTCCGTTTCTATGCGAACTAGTCTCTCAGTTTTAAAGCTATCGCGATAAAACTTTCCCGAAAGTCTTCTTTCTATTGCAGGTAGTACATACAGTGAGTCACATTAATATTCGGTTTTTTTTTTTGTCAACTTCAAACGTGAATAAAAAGTTTGAAACTAATAAAACAAAAAATCAAATAATGCAGAAATAAAGCTTATTTTATTACCTTTTCATAGATATATATATGTTATTACTTTTTTTAAAATTTAACTGAGAAACATGCATAAACGAAAGAAAAGCCGAATATTGGGGCCACATTAATATTCGGTTTTCGCTTTTTGTACTAAAAATCAAAAAAATTATTTAGGAAATAAACTAAATTTGACATTTGAAATGCTAGCCATTATTGTCTATGGTATCGTTTAAATATTTTGGCATACTTTAAAATTTTTTTTTGCCTATTCTGGGCCAGTTTTTCCAACCTAAAAAAAGGATGCACGGGATAATGTCAAAAAAGTTTGCAAAGGTACAACAAATTCTCGATTTTTTTTTTTTAATTTATGGTTAAACCCTTAGCCTTTAACTAGAAATCAGTTTCAGCGCAATCCATTAATCACACCAAAAAAAATGGATGGGTACAAAAGCAGAGTCAGTTTACAGTTTACATTTTCAGTCTAGCTTTAAAACAGTTTTTCGCGGTTAGTGGGCGTTAGAGAGGGCGTGGCACATCTGCATCTTATTCCGCTGAATGGGATGCTAAGGTATTTAAATCCAAAACCCCAACTTTCTAGCTCTTATGCTTGCTGAGATCTCAGCGTTTACACGGACAGACAGACGGATCGACTCGGTTAGTGATTCTGATCAATAATATATAGACTTTATACAATATATATAAACACACTTATAAAAGTAATTTTCTAAATTTTAGAAAATCGCCCTAAAAAAAAGTTTGCCTTCAAACTGAGAAAAATGTTCTATTTTCACGTCAAAAATAAATGCCATAAATCCAAGGCAGGTCACCACAAAAAATCTTTTTAGGGTTAATTATTCTATTTTCTAATATTTAGGGTGATTTATTTGGATTTGCATCGTTTTGACCTTTTCTTATTCGAGCGGCGAATAGCCCTAATTTTTTTCTAAAATTTTTCTAAATACAAGGGCGATTTGAATTCGGTCGCCCATCGGTCTAATCACTTGTGCTTTCATCTTTGCTATATGAGGACTAAGGTCGTGGGGTTGTGAGTTCGACCCCTGTGTGATTCAACTTGATTTTTGTGTTTTTTTTTTTTAAGTTATAATACTAAGCACATTTTTTCGTCCGAATTTTAAATTAAAGTAGTCTTCAAACCTTAAAAACGTATGGGAATTCTGAGCTAGAAGCATACTTTGTGTTTGCAAGCAAGAAAACGGCCCTAATTGTCACAGTCGTCAGGAAAAAAATATAAGGTCTAACAGCCTTTAGTCAAATTATAATGTAGACCTTCAGAAAATAAGATGTGTGCAGAGTTTGTACGTCGCCTTGCGGGATGGGTCTGTGGTGCAGCGGTTGGACGTTAGACTCTAAACCGAGAGGTCGTGGGTTCGCTTCTCGCAGTGACCAAAAGTTAGTGGTTTTTTCTCCTCTTATTTATTTCCCTAATTCGTTTACAAACATGATTTTTCAGTTCTAACGGCTGTGCTGTATAGGTCGGGCCCCCCTTAACGCAGCTCCACATACCCAGCGGGAACATTCCTCTGGAAAATATGATATTTTCATGAGGTTTCCCCATACAAGCGGAAGGGACAAAACCTCATTTACCCCTTACATTTCTTCCGTCTCTGCTTTCAAAATACACGGGGGTGACACAAAAAGTAACGGGGAAATGAGGTTTTTATGTGGTTTTCCAAGGGAATTCACATTTTCCCTACACCGTCGCCAGCTGAAAGATACAGGATTTCCAACACTTTCTGCTAAACGGAACAGGATTTTCAACACACAAAGAACCACCTTCTCACTTTCCCGGTGGGCAGATTCGTGCTCCCACTCACACAAACGCAATGCGTTCTTTCCCTGTATTTGTGCTGCTTCTGCTGGCCACCACTGATTTAAACCTATATAATTGTGGACCAATAATACGGTGAGTAGGAAAATTCACTCAGAACCAATTGTCATAAAAATCTATGTTTGATCCCAAGCGTGGCTTGTGGATCAATATAAGTTTGTATACGAGTCCTCTTCCCAGAGGGCAGAAAGGAAGACCGCGGAGTTATAAGATGTGTTGATAACTGATTTATTGTGAGCTTGGTACATGGTTATATACTACTTGGAAATGAGGAAGTTAAGTGTAAAGACTAGTGGAATGGGTTGTATTCTGGAGTAGGTCAGTATGTTTTGACTATGGCAGCGGTTAGCGTAGTTGGATCGGCTGACACTGCAGAATGTGCTGACCGCTTGGCGGGTCAGTGAGACATCGAGTCAACCGTTGACATTGACTCTGTAGAATATGCTGATCAGCACTTATTATCTGCCGTGGGTGCAACTGGACGCCTGGTACTGTTACCAAACTGTAGTACTGCTTGATTTGTTGGTCGTTGGTCATGTTGAGCAACATTGAGACCAAACAATCTAAAAAAAATCAAATTAATTCGGAAATAATTGGGTGCCGCGTGTGAGCTACAAATTAGAATAGCAAACAACCCCCAAGTGCCCCTAAATTCGATTTGATTTTTTTTCAATTCTTTCTTTTGCCATTTGTCTGTTACACCAGTTTACAAAAACAACAGTTCCCAGAATATACACGGTTGAAATACATGCTTCCCAAATTTAGTTAAGCATGCTCAAACACGATTTTTTTTTAATTTGTCTAATTTTTAGGCCATTTGCCTTTAAAAACAGGAAAATATTTCTCAGTTTGTGTGTGTGTACCAAAACATGGTTTTAAAGTCCTGAAAATTTGATATGATGTTCAAAAGCTCGATATAAGAAACATTAGTTCTACCACTTCTTCTACCACTAACCCGCTAGCTTAGCGGGAAAGTAGCTATAAATAGCTAAAATACGGATGGCCGTACCTTCTAAGCTATTGAAGCTACAGACTTGTGCTGTATCTCGTTTGAAAGGTATTTTAAAATGCTTCAAGCGCCTTCTATATCTGTGTAAATTTGTGTAAATAAAATTTTTAAAAAGATATACGCAAAACAAAATTTTTTAAACTTTTTTTAGCTTTTTTTATATTTTTTTTTTTTTTAAACGGCTCTAACGATTTTCTTTGAAACTTCAAACTGTATAGCCCTTGAGATTCCCTAAATTTTGGTATATATCAACAACTTACGCTGCCTAAGCATTGAATTTAGTATGTGCGTATCAAAACTGTATTTTAGGGTAATGGAATCAGTTAATTTGAATTTAAACGCCTTTTTAACTTAATTCGTTTAAATACAAAAGATTTAAAATTTAAATTTAAATGTATATATTAGCTCCTATGAGTGCAAAAGTAAACAAACAAAAACTTCTGATATCAAAGAATAAAAAAAGCATGTGAAGAGTGAAGAAGAAAAAGGCTGGAATAGTTTGCTAGGGCGGGCCGAATGATAAAGTTTTAGAAAGTGTATTTTATGACGACTGTGATAATTTTTCGTCACAAATGTTGATATCAGAACTTTTGTATGTTGAAGGTGCGATCGTCACTACTTTTTTACCTCGTTAAGAGGTGTTTTTATTTGATTTCATATAGATGGCGTAGACTTGTCATTATTATTTGAGTCTAAACATAAAGGTAACCTTGTCACCTTTACAAACGGCTAAAGAAAAATGATATTTCTTGGTCATATAAGTTCCAATAGTTAAGGGAGTCGCACCACAGAATCAAACAAATTTTTTTTTTCATTTATCGCCCCCAAACTATATGCAGAATATGTGGATAAAAAGCTATTTAGATATTTTTAAAAGAAGGAATATGGGGTGACTCTCTTAAGAGTGTATCGTGGCCAAAAAAACACTTGCTAGGGTTTTATAACAAGTTTAGATGCCAAGTCGAAACCTAGATTTTTACTTTAGTTTGTTTTCGTAGTCTATAATTATATAATTGCAGTAAAAAGTTTTCAAAGGAATGATTTCCGACCATATAAAGTATATATATTCTTGATCAGCATCACCAGGAGAGTCGATTAAGCCATGTCCGTTTGTCTTATCTTGTTAAGCAGTGTTATTCGTCAAAGGACGTACTCGAATTTCCTTGCTCTCCCATACGCTAACCAGCATTTTTGCAACAAGCTGAGCACTTTCAGATAAGGTTTGCTTGAGATAAAAAGTCCTTATAAAAAACATTAATTTTTAAAATAAATAAAAGTCTAACGGGTATCTTACAGTCGAGACACTCGACTTTTGCATTACATCTTGTTTTGCGAATCCGAATTTGCACAAGTATGTATTCTGAGGAAACAAGAAAGAACGCTATAGTCGATGTTTTGAAATCTGCCAAACTTTAATTTAGGTATGCGATTGGAAATGCAGAAAAATCTATCGCCGCGAAAAACATCGGTTGGCTGAATTCTTTGGCCTATGATATTCAAGAACCCTATTTTGACAACCGAACTGGTGGACCCTCTATAAAGGTAAAATTTAATTTTGCTAAAGTAAACGTTATGGTTAGAAATAATTTTTTCCAGTCGCGATACATAACAGCTTTATATTTTACATTTACCTCGCTCACATCCGTTGGATTTGGAAATGTGGCACCGAATACTGATGCTGAAAAAGCCTTCACCATTTGCGTAATGCTTGTTGGATGTATGCGAAATCTGCTCTCCAATACATGTTGGTATATTTAATACTATATTACGTTTCTCTTTTAAGCTCTTATGTATGCAAGTATTTTTGGAAATGTATCGGCGATCATACAAAGGTATAATTCCAATACGATAATATAATATTAATTAATACATTATGAATAATATTAATACAAAGGCTGTACTCAGGAACTGCAAGATATCATACTCAAATGTTACGTGTTCGGGAGTTTATTCGATTCCACCAGGTATCACATATAAAAAGCACTTTTAACAGTACATACTTAAGCCCTTACCTTCTCAACAGATACCAAACCCGCTCAGGCAAAGACTGGAAGAATATTTTCAGCACGCATGGACCTGTAATATTATAAATCTTTCTCTGTACTTATTGTTAACTTTTTAATTTTGAAGATACCAATGGGATAGATATGAGCTCGTTGCTAAAAGGGTTTCCCGAGTGCCTACAAGCCGACATTTGCCTGCACTTAAACAGAAAGTTGTTAACAACATGCGCAGCTTTTTCGGAAGCAAGTCCTGGTTGCCTAAGGTGAGCCTAAATGAAACTAGAAAAACAAAATTTAGCGTAAATTTAATTTTCAGAGCTTTTTCCCTTAAATTTAAAACTACCCATGCGCCACCTGGTGATATTCTAGTTCATAGAGGAGATGTCCTTACCTCATTATTTTTTATAGCCAGGGGCTCTATAGAAATTCAAAGAGGTGGCAATATGATTGTTGTATTAGGTAGGTTTATTTTATAAGTTTACACCAACTCATGAATTGGAAATAAACTATTTTTGTTATTTCTTGTTTTATTCTTTCTTTAGGTAAAAACGACATATTCGGAGAAAATCCGTGTATATATCCAACGCTTGGAAAATCAAATGGAGTGGTTAGAGCACTAACATATTGCGATATCCATAAGTTGCACAGAGACGACTTGCTCGATGTACTGGATGCTTATCCTGAATTTCTTGAAAGCTTCGTCAACAACCTTGTAATAACCTACAATATGAGAGATGTAAGTAAATCGATTTAGGGCCGGTTTCTCGAGTGCCGGCTAACATTTCTCGAACACATAAAGTCCCTGCTAAGGCATTTTGGCTTTCTCGAGCATAAATGTGAGAGCTAACTTTGACAGGGACTCGGAGTCCCTGTTAAGCGTTTTCGGCTCGATAGAATGACAGCTGATTTCCCAAAGCCAACTATGAAGATGAAACGAAATCACAGCTGACTTTTCCTTTAAATTATACACAAACAGCTGATGAAATAATCGAAGCACGCCATTTTTTACCCTTCACAGCACAATTCTGTGCGTTAACAGCACTCTGTAATTGTTTCTCGTTCAGATAAATTAAAGCAGTCGAGAAAGCCGAAATGCTTTTACGAACAGTTTATCTGGTATTTAAGTTTTTCGAACAGATAGCTATCAGGGACTTTGACAGGGACTCGAGAAACCGGCCCTTAGTTTACAACTGAATGCTCTTTAAATCATCTGCATTTTTAGGACGAACATTCTGGAGTTGATATCAAGCATCGCTTCTTAAGGGCAAAGTCTTCCGATAAAATAAGGAGTTCACCGGACATACCCTCTATAAGAATGTAAGCTATTGCCCTATTGCGGGAAAGCAATTTTTATATCTCCTTCTTTTCAGAGTTGGACTGCGTTATAAAAAACAAAATGTTAATACTTCTGTTCATAAAGTGAAGAATGATAACTCCCGTGACCTTAATATTTTTATAGAAAACGAAATCGCGAACTATCATTTAGACTTATTTGAAAATAATAATTAATACTGATAAACATTTTAAATGAAAACATCCACTTGCCTTCGCCGACTTTGATTGACTTGTTAATAAACAACAACAACAGCTTAACAACTTTAATATAAATATGCCTTCTTGTATGTTTTTCGCGCACCCCATTTCAAATAATTTACATTTTGCATTCACACATTCCAAATTAGAGTGACCAGCTTTTTTCCAGCACCAGCAGGAGTATTGAACACGCGGCGACGGCGCCATCTATGGCACGAAATTGGTACTGTTTGTACACAAAACTGTTGGCGCCACGGCTTTTTGAGGTTTGTAGGCGTTAGAGGGGGCGTGGCACCTTGATAAAATAAACTTGCGCTGCGTAGGAAGCCCAAGAATATGTGTAGGAAATCCCAAACTGGACGTTAGTCCAACCCCCCGTCCGCGGTCTGCAAATCGAGCAGGAGCTCAGCGAGCTGGAGGCCGCCGACGAGGAGGAGGAGAACATGGCCAGCTTGCTGGGCAGTGCGCCTCTGCCCAGATCCTGGCCAACCAGACGATTATCGTCAAGATCGAGCCCACGCAATCCTTTCACATCGTAGACCAGGGCGACACGCGGGTGCTGAGCCTGCCCCTCAGTGACGCCGATAAACTGGGCGCAGGTTGGATAGATCTTAAGGATATTGCCGGCCTGCAGGCGGGCGGAGGAGCCACTCTGCTGGACGTCTGCTTCAAGCACCAACGAAGAGGGCACCATCATAGCCACTTTAGTACTTTTCGAGATCTCAGCGTTCATACAGACAGACAGACGGACAGACAGACATGGCTAGATCGACTCGGCTAGTGATCCTGATTAAGAATATACATATATGTATACTTTATGGGGTCAGAAACGCCTACTAGCTGTTACATACTTTTGAACGAATTCAATATACCCATTTACTCTACTCTACTCAAAGTTCGAAAATTGCTGAAATTGGCCCATTTTCAGGAGGTCTCAGAGGCAAACGGATTCATGGTTTGTTTTGATGTTAAAGTTTTTTAAAAGATACATTTTTTATCAACATAACAACATAAAAGTATACAGCTGTTGTCAAAATAGTAGTACTGTTGCCGCCCTGTGTTTCGAAAGTTTGTTGTTGTAACTTTTCTTATCTAAGTTTAAGAAAAAATCAAATAAAAACACCTCTTAACGAGGTAAAAAACTAGTGACGATCGCACCTTCAACATACAAAAGTTCTGATATCAACATTTGTGACGAAAAATTATTACACTCGTCATTAAATACACTTTCTAATATTTTCTCATTCGGCCCGCCCTAGCATACTATTTTAGCCTTTTTACCTTCATAGGCATTTTCTATTGCAGCGTGCCGAATGAGAAAATCTTAGAAAGTGTATTTAATGACGAGTGTAATAATTTTTCGTCACAAATGTTGATATCAGAACTTTTGTATGTTGAAGGTGCGATCGTCACTAGTTTTTTACCTCGTTAAGAGGTGTTTTTATTTGATATCAGAAGTTTTTGTTTGTTTATATTTGCTCTCATAGGAGCTAGTATATACATTTAAATTTAAATTGGTCAATCATAATTTGTAAACCATTGTATTTAAACAAATTAAGTCAAAAAGGCGTTTAAGTATTTCAAAATACCTTTTAAACGAGGTATAGCACATGTCTGTAGCTTCAGTAGTGTAGAACTTACAATCTAACGAAATTTAGCTATTTCTAGCTTTTTTTCCGCTAAAGCAGCGGGTTTTTCCAAAAGTCGTAAAACAAAAGTTTCCTATTTGGAACTCCTTTAAAACAATTGAAATGATTCTATGAGCCTAAAATACAGTTTGGATACCCACGCACAAAATTAAACAGTCAGGAAGCGTTAGTTGTTCTGAGCTGGCAAAAGTGGCTATTTTTGTTTCTGAATAACTTTTAAACGCGATTTTTTACATAAACATGATGTATACCAAAATTTAAGGAATCTCAAGGGCTATACAGTTTAAAGTTGTAAGGAAAATCGTTAGAGCCGTTTTTGAGAAAATTAAAAAAAAGCTAAAAAAAAAGTTTAAACAAATTTTCGTTTGTTCATATCTTTTTAAATATTACATTTACACAAATTACATATAGAAGGCGTTTATAGCATTTAAAACAACCTTTCAAACGAGATGCAGCACAAGTCTGTAGCTTTAGTAGTATAGAAGTTACGGCTTTCCGAATTTTAGCTATTTATAGCTGTTTTCCCGCTAAACTAGCGGGTTTTTCCAAAAGTGGTAGAACAAAAGTTTTTTATATCGATGTGATGAACGTCATATCAAATTTTCAGAACTTAAAAAACATATTTTGGACAAACTGACAAACAGAATTAAATTTTCATTTTGGGAAGAAGAAGAAAATCTTATTTTGGCTATAACTTTTGAACGGAGCGTTGGATTTTATCATATGACCCCTCATTCGACGGGTATTTTCAATAGGAATACAACTAAAACATTGCGAGGGGGCTTTTATCCCCACCGGCCCCAACAGCTCCAAAATTCGAAATTTTCACTTTTTCACTTTCACTGCTCTCTCTCCCAAGCCAATTGATTTTCTTAAAGTCTTGGTATGCAATCCTTTAAGTTTTTGCAATACCTTTCGATTGGTGTATTACTCATTACGATCGGACTATCACAGCAGATTTTCAATTTTGCGGCTATATAATAGTAGTCGCCTTCGCACACTCTCCTGGTGCGCTTCGTCACTACATGGACTGCCGTCCATAGTGATACAAGACAAATACAGAAAAATATTTACATTTTAACAATAAAAATAACCATTTTAAGCTCCCATTCTAAGGCAAAACATTTTGGGTGCAAAAAGGGTTGAAAAGGGTCTCTCTGTGCATGGAAGCTATAGTAAGCTTCGAAATTTTGAAATATTAGTGAGAAGATAAATCCCAGAGAAGAAAAGAATGTAAAAAAATCAACAAATATATAATTTTTTCCTTTTAATTTCCATTTAATTTTCTGACCGTTTCTTTGGCAGATATATAGTGTTCCGATTTTTAAAAAATTTAATTCGAAATTCAAAACAAGAGAGAACGCTATAGTAGGGTGCCCCGACTATCAGATACCCGTTACTCAGCTAAAGGGAGTGCGAAGAAGATGGAGATAAAAACTTTGATCCGCCGTAACTTTTTAACGAATGGTCCGATTTAAAAAATTTCTTCTGCTTAGGCTCATTGCTTTTTGGCTATTGTTAAATTATTTATATAATAATAAAATATAAGCTGTTCTGCGTACAAAAACATCAATGTTTGCAGCAAAGACTCAGAATATATTCTCCACTTCGTAAAAAAATGTAAATGTAAATGTTGGATGGTGAATGGTGGATGGAGCTCAGTGGAAACACGAGTTTCACATTTGTCAAAAATGCCAACAGTTTCACACGGATGGACTCTATGGGAAGAGGCTATTATTAAATTACTGCAAATTAAATTACTATTAAAAATACTGCAATATCCCGGCATAAAAATGGCGTCATATAGTTTTCGATTAGTCGATAACAGGATTGTATTTTGCCTTTTTATACGATGTATCACGTTTACGTTTCTTTTTCCCATTTGGAGAGACATACAATCACAATGCATTTAGAGCTTAAACTGAAAAGACCTTAAAAATGGAAATTTTAAATTTTTTTTAAACAAAAATCGCAGCGTTAAGTTTTACAAACCACTTTCCGAATATTTACCACTGCTTTCCGAAATTAGCTCGTCAAAGTTCACCACATGAGAGACCGACAAAATGCGGTCAATTTGGTTGTATAGTGGCCAGCTTGACGGTATTACTGGGACCGATTTTATCGCGTTCTTCTCTATTCTAAATAATAAATAAATATCCGACACCTTGAGATTTTAGGATCCTTGCTTGTATTTTCGCATTAGGTTATCCATCTTAATTTTTAGGCCCTTGCTAGTCGCACCGAGTTGGGATTGTTTGGCGGCCATGTCCCGGTGTATGTGTGAGTTCTTGTGAGCTCTGCGGAATCCATCAAGGTTCTCAAACCAGAGCTCGATGAGATAGTTTGTTGTCTCCTCTGTCCATTTCCACCTCTGGCTACCTTCGTTATGCGCTATGATTTTATGCATTATTTATAATTTTATTTAAATACAATAAATATATGTGCTTACCTGCTGACATTTTAGTAAAGGTTTGTCTTGAATATTTTTTAAATATTGCGATTATATTTTTAATTATATATTTAAATTGTATTGTGACTAGCGCCTTAAATTATAGGTATGCGACAGCTTGTAGCGCTGGAATAGAAACAATAAATAAATATCTGATTGGCTCTCTTACTGAGGGGATGTGTAGGCCCTGGCTAGGACCACTTTTCTGACGTACAACGCAGAAGTTTTAAAAAATTTTGTTTGCTTTTAAAATGACTAATTTTTCAAAATATCTACTTAATAAATTTTGTCTTCTTGCCATTGACCATTCCTGCATAGCTGAAGAGGCGCTCTACTGGGCCAAGGAAAGGCAACGGGGTATTGTATTTAAAAACAAGAAGGGAAGCTACCTTCGGCTAGCCGAAGCTTATATATCCTTGTAGATTAAAGAATGCTTACTCGGTGCAGTTCCAGGGATTCCAGATTCAGCGTTTCAATTTATTTTTTAAATTTTGTTTTTAAGTAGTCAAGAATCAAAACGCCTACTTCCTACAAAGTTACAATAAATTTTCTTATATTTGTTTGAATATTCCTATGGGAGCCTTAAGATATAGTGGTCCGATCCGGCTCGCTCCGACATATGTTCTACCTGCAATAAAAAGAAGACTTTCGGGAAAGTTTCATCGCGATAGCTTTAAAACGGACAGACGGACATGGCTAGATAGACTCGGCTATTGGTGCTGATCAAGAATATATATACTTTATGTGGTCAAAAACGTCTCCTTCACTGCGTTGCAAACATCTGACTGAAATTATAATACCCTCTACAAGGGTATAAAAAGTGACTCTAATGGATGGGTATTTGCTCAAGCTTTCAATCTCTTCATCCCGGTCAATTAAATATCGGTCAAATTCTTCGCTTACCGGGGATCCTTGAAATGTTAGATCTTTTGAAGAAATACAAGTTATAAATCTGTGCAAACAATTTACCG